TGCAGCCACCTTTTCCTCCCACTTCTCTCTTCCCATGTCCACCCCATATTCACTTACAAAACCATCTGCTTGGAGAGGTTTGGACCCATAGTTACATCCATGGAAGTCATGAGATACCCATACCAAGGACCTCTGGAACCTTTGTGCTTTCAGATCATTCCATTAGTATTTTCACAATAGTACATCTTAGTAGTCTCCTTTTGCGTTTGAATTTGCTCTGTCCAGATCTGTTGTAAATGGTCTGCTGACTGCTAACCTTGTTATTCCAGATGATGTTAGTCTCTTATGTTGTCACTAATTAAAACCTGTACTAATGGCCAAATTATTTAATAAGGCTTTTTATTTATATTTAGGAGGTAATTCTAACTGACATATTTACCTACGTAATCTGTGTGAATGTTAAACCAGTATTTCCCTGACATCTTAAGAAGTTACTTTGCAATTTCATTCTGTTATCTCGTGCATATGCTTAATATGCAAATTCATGTCATCAGCAGGTTTCATCATAATAATTTCTGCCTCTAACAAAAAAAGGTTGTGAGAAGCTAAAATGAAAACAAGGTGCTGCTTGGCTTTTGGAGGTTCTGCTGTGTAGCTTTATTTTCATTATCTATAAAGTGCTATAGCAGCAAAAAATATCCTAGACTAAGCAATTTGTGACTGTCAGTGATATAGAAGGTGTACTGCAGACCACCTAAAAGGCTTACATGGGATGCAGCATTTAAAAAAAAAAAAAAAAAAAGCGTATTGAATGTTTAGGCAGAAAGTTTAATGCTTAAAGTGTTTTCCCAAGCAAGATCTACTTGCTTCATCAAGTCCAGGTCCCTGTTAAGTACTGTGTCAAAATCTGTCTAAAAAGTTGTTAGTTTTACAGCTCTCAGTCTTTGGGAAAGGTGTTCTGGAACCTTACTTTTCTTCAAGGGTTAAGATAACAACAATTTCCAATTTAAATAATACTCACCATGGAAAAAAATGTACTGATTTTGGTTCTTGCCCTTTTCCTGGGATTTCCCATCGATGCAGTTACAGGGAATGATCCTTCAAGTCTGTTTTATCATCATAAATAGTCTAAGCACTTCTAGTTAGGTCACATTAGAGGTTGAGGTTGCTTCATCCTTCTCAGCATCTTGCCTAATCTTTTTTTCAAGTATTCTAGGCAGAGTTCATCTTTCTTGAACCTTGGAAATCAGAAATGTTGGTAGTTTGGTTTTTTTTCTTAGTTAAGTAGGATCTACTAGGAAATGAGGAGGGGGAGTAGTCAGCAGTCACAAACAGTCAAACATTTAAAAAAAACATTCTTAATTTGAACAGCACTTCTGATATCATTTCATGTTCCAATCATCCATCCTGTTGCCTTTCACATGAGGAAAATGAGAAGCAGCAGCCCAGGCTAATTATGTACTTCATAAAGAAGCAGAAATTACGCTTTTTTTTTAACAAAGATTTTCCGGAAGATGTAGAGAGGGTCTTTTAATTACAGCTGGGATTTCTTTGTAGCCATTGTTTCATTTTTGTGTTTGGGGAAGAAATCAGAATTGTGTGTAATTGGCCATTACTGCATGATCACACCACTCTGTTTTCCTTCAACAGAAGATACAGTTCCAAAGAAAGTGGTCTGTCACTTCAGTGGAAAAACATATGCAGATGAGGAACGCTGGGACATTGACAGCTGCACGCACTGCTACTGCCTGCAGGGTCAGACCCTGTGCTCCACTGTCAGCTGCCCACCCCTCCCTTGTGCTGAACCCATCAACGTGGAGGGAAGCTGCTGTCCCATGTGTCCAGGTAATGGGATGTGACAACCTGAATTATTGTAATGCTGGTTTCCCAGGACTGATAATAAGATTTTTTAATTGGTTTTTGAACATTTACAGTCCATGTTTGAACTGTACCAAGACAACAGACATTTAGGCTTGAGGAGAATTAATATTCTTACCAGACGGGCATATTGTGCAAATGTATAGTTTGAATTTTACTTATTCTAGAACGGTGAACTCAAAAATTAGTTGCTTGCCCCTGCTCTGTCCTTTCACAAGGTTATAGAATTAAATTAATAAAGTAGGAAAAATGAATATTGTTACATCTCTGCAGATTCTGTCAGCAATTAACATTTGTCTCTTTTCTGAGTCTCTTTGTTACTTTTCAAATATCACATTGCTTTGGCATAAAAGTAATATGAAATTTTCTTAGCTGTGGACACAAGGGACATAAGAATTGCATCTGGTTTTTAATGCTAGTCCTGACACATTTCTGCAGGAGTTTGCTCATCTTATTTAGTCAGCTGGTAACTACTTCAAACAGGACAAATAGGCAGATTCATCAGTAACCTGTCTTGCAGTTCTCCTGCTTTGAGGATATCAAAAAAAGGAAGGCAGAGAAACTGGCAGTGACAGTTTACATACCAGCTGGGAAGACGTAGCCTTCCCTTGGTTCTTTTGTTGTTTAGTATCACAAAAGAGCAAGAGCGTAGTCAAGTGTGTATTCCGAAATGGTATTTTTGAAAGCAAATTTGACCGCACGCCTATGTCATCCCATTCACATTAGGAGGATAATGATGATGATGACAGCAGGCCTGTATACAGTATGCAAGCAGTTTTAAAAAAAAATCCCAGACTAGTAATGGTGGAAATTCTGAAACAAATGATTCATAGGAGAAAGCACTGCTGCTGGCCAAGTATATTTCCTGAGTTAAGAGCAGCACTGAGAAGTAGCAGCTTGTAATTTGTGAAACACATTTATCTCATTTCACAGAGATGTATGTACCTGAACCTACTAACATCCCCATTGAGAAGACAAATCATCGAGGAGACATTGAACTAGAAGTACCAAACTGGCCAACACCGAGTGAAAATGACATCATCCACATTCACAGAGGTAAGATCTGATATAAACAGGGCTAACTTAAGTCTGTGTTTATTCCCCATGTTTTAATACATCTACTTGTTCTATTCAGGTAGCATCTGTATAATGCTTCAAAAAGTGGTTATCTGAGAATATTCTTCAGTGCAGAACTCTCACACGCATTTTGCTTTGAGTAAAGATGAGTCAGTCTATTAAATTCTATTTATGCAATTTGGTCTTATTATCATTCCATCTTCAGCCTGGAAGAAACATCTGTGTTGGTATGATGGAGTTTTATAAAATGAAGAATACGATAAAATGATGAACGAAGAGTGATTCTGCAGTGTCTTTTCCAATACAAAAACTAGAAAGCAAGCTGTTGTCAGGCCATGGGAGTTGATAGACATACATTTGATCCATTTGACATTCTTACATTGATAACAAAACCAAGAAAACATATACCACAACTTTACATATATCATAGATAGATATCAGAGTTAAAAAAACCACTTCAGGTATAATGACACAGTGCTAGTAAGTTGTCTAAGGATGTGTAAATATATCTTTAGTTTAAAACTATGATGAAATCATAATTCCAGGATAGGGAAAATGTTCTATGACAGTCTTTGTTAACCTATTCTAATTGAAGGACTACCTAAACTTGTATATTCACTTTTTTTTAAATCTAAGAATGATCTTATAGCATACTATTCTTTGGAGAAAGAATATGTGAAATGTAATTGCTTTACAAAGTTGTAAGCTTACGCTTTTATAAATACAGCATTTTCATTTCTCACAGACATTAGTAGCTGGCTTTCAACTATCCTGGCTGGGTATTATAAACATACACTGCAAACTGTGTGGGAATGTTGTATATGTCATTGATAATTACTGTTCTTTGCAATTACCTGCAAAACTTGCTACAGTCTAGTAGACTGCCAGCAGTCTGTTTTCACAGGCTGAATGGTGCAAGTATTGTAAAATGTTCTCAACAAATGAGAGAGCAAACACATCATAATTGCCCTACCAGTTTTTAAAAGAAAAAAAAAAACACAAACCTTTCATCCTAAGACTTCCAGGTTTTCCTCAGCATAGAAACACAGGCTAATTTTTTTTACAAGTGAACAGATAAGATGATGCGAACACAACTGAGCTAAGAGGTTATTGTCAGACTTGCTTGTTACTGTGCTTTAGATTACATCCTATTTCTTCTCTTTTTGATGGCCTATTCCTAGCTAATATAGTCACTATACAAGATGCTAGCTTTCAGTTGTTCTAGTTTATATAAATAAGGTGACATTCCAGGAGGCAAAGTCCAAATTCATGAGAGTGACAAGATCCATGACTGGGACTTTTATTACATTCTTCTTTATGGTCAAGGCCCATTTATAATTAGTAACAAATTCTCACATTTGCCTTGCAGACATGAGTCATCTCCAGGGAGAGTACAGAAGTGGCAGTGGCCCACACCCAAGTGAAGATACGTCAGTTAGCTCTGTTGCCTTGGTGACAATTCCAATCACGATAGCGCTGTTACTGATCATTGTCCTTCTGCTCGTCAATCAGAAGAAGCAGTGGATTCCAGTGTCCTGCTACAAAGCTCCAACAAAGGTGCTGTGTTTATGTCGTATTTCCAAGCTTTCACTTTTTTGGAAAACCAGATTAAACTAGAATGTTGTATAGGATGCAATTGAGTTCACATCATGTGAACTCTCTCTTTAAATTTCTCATGTCTTAAATCATTTTATACGAGTCAGTCTGATTTATTCAGCCACCTACATTATTTTTTTCACTATCAACAAAAAACATTTTTAACTCCATATAGTAATGAGTTGTGACTAGATAGAACTCAAGCTCAGCAAAATACTTTTTAAAAAAATCCAACTCCGTATATGTGTAGGTAAATACATGCAATTTTCTTATATGCAGTCAAACTCTTAAGAGAGTATTTTTGCTATCTTAACCTTCATCCACTTTAAAAGTCTTGTACAATATAAGGTACTGTATATACTAGTAGTATTTATCACATCTTCTAACAACTGCATCGTATGGTTCTGGGATTAATATTTTCAGAGAAGTCTTGGGAAATATCTACCAGTTAAGTATTCTGAGACTGCCAAAAACTAGAAGAAGCAGGTAGCTTGGTAATGAACAGTGAAAGAGCATAGTTTTGTTTTGAGAAACATTTTCATCAGACTAAGCCCTTACTCCATACTCAAATGCCATTTATATCAGTTCCCCAATTTATCCCACTTACACTTCCTAATTCTAATCAGACTTTGTCCATACTTGAAACACAGTTTGAGAGCGTCTTTTCTTCAGTTCCACCTAGAAGAGTAATCGAGTAAATTTTAAAATGAAGTGTCCATATTTTCTGTCACTGCTGAACTTTTTAAAAAAAAAAAAAAAAAAAAAAGTGGTTTCTAACAAACTTACAAATACAGTCAGACCATAAAGTTGAATTCAGTTGTAATTCAATAGGAAGCATGAGGAACTGATACTACTCCATGTCCATTCTTTCAAGATAAGTAAGCAATACCAGTTCCTGAATTTAAGGAATGCATTTAAAAACTCATTTTAACTTTAATGGATTCACTCCTAAACTCTCAGAAAGGCTGTTCTACATCCATCTGTCCATCCATCCATCATCTTTTGAAGAGCAAAATTTAAATAAAAAAAATAAATAATATTTTGTAAGAAATATTTGGGTAAAAAACCTTTTTGTGATATGGGTTACTGAATGTGAAGTTCTAGTAATAAAAAACCCTTCTGTTTTAAGTCTTGGAAAAAAAGAAGCTACATACATCAATGGAAACTGGAATTTTTAAGATTTGCAGTCCATTTGCATGCTTATAGTGTGAGCATGCACATGCATTGCCACTGACTTCATACATATCCCCAGAGTATGCTTACTGCCTGTCCTCCGTCATGCTTAGCCCATAAACATTTAAGGTCATATGTGCCCAGTGTCGTTTCACCTTCCTCTCAGCTGCAAAATGTTTCAGTTGAAGGATTCTCAAACAGAATAGCAGAACTGGAAAGCCAGTACACATAGCTCAAGTCTTCCTTTGAGCAGTATTTTATGGGCATTCACACTTGTAGATATTACATACCCAAACCTTTACTTATTCACATTTGCCTCAAATTAAATCTTCTATTCCACACTTAGAAGCAAGCAAGAACAACTCTACCAGGTGCCACATCAACACTGGCATCTCTACAATAACACACTGCTTTGCAAGGGTGTAAGGCTTAGCGAATACTAGATAAAAGGGGGATGATTTCCTAATTAAGGAAGTAATACATGAACCACCTCAGAAGGGGAATATAGAAGGATACCATAGGACAACCCATGCCAGGATTAACTATAACAGCTGAGATCTCTCCCATTCTTAGCAGAATTGCAGCCAGGAGCAAAACATTCTTTAAAAAGATCTGCAATAAAGAGGCTGTTTGAGTCTTGGAAACAAGCTGCTGAACATCCAGGGCAACAAGGTTAAGCCCTTATGTGGTGCTAGACTAACAGAGAAAAATTCAACCAGCCCATCTGGGGTATGAGAATATCAAAGCTCCATTCAGAAGATGAAAAATGGTGACTCAGAAGAGAGTGTTGGTCTGTTATTGTGCCTGGCATAAGCCTTTACCAAGTTTAGCAGAAGTCCAGACTCTATCAATGCTGATTTGATTTTGTTTTGTGCTTATGGCCTTGAACGACAAAGACTTTTAAAATTATGTATGGAATACAAAGATTTCTTCATTTTCTCAATATTCCTTTTCTGTTTTAACAGCCTTCTTGCCTAAACAATCAACTGGTATACGTAGACTGCAAGAAAGGTACCATGGTCCAGGTGGACAGTTCTCAGAGGATGCTAAGAATTGCAGACCCAGATTCAAGATACAGTGGATTTTACAGCATGCAGAAACAGAACAACCTACAGGCAGATAATTTCTATCAAACAGTTTGAAGAACTCCACCCTTACCAAGGATTTAAGAAAGAGAGAGAGAGAGAGAGAGAGAGAGAGAGACTAAGTCTGCTATTAAAATAAAACTAGAATTGTGCACTTGCTTAGTGGATTGTATTGGATTTGTGACTACATGTACAGCTCTAAGACCTTACTGGGATGAGCTCTGACTCCTGCAATGTGCCAGAAAAAGCATTCCCACTTTTCCTTGAGATAACTGACCAAGTGTTTTCTTAGAACCAAAGTTTTAAAACTTGTTAAGATGTATTTGCTTGTAACATAGCTATAGAGGTTTTTTGGGAGGGGGAACTGGGGGCTAGGGATAGGCAATGAAGTAAAAGGAAGCTTCAGAGAAGAAAAGCTGGTCATGTTTGACTGGAGAAGAAAATTAATAAAGAATACTGCCAAGCAGCAGGATAGTGGTTTTTCTTGTTGCTCCAAAATTGCATCTGTTGCAGCAAAGCCTAACCCCTGGTAAAAAAAATATGAAAAGGTCTGATTTTTCTTTTTTTTTTTTTTTTATTTCCCCCCGGCTGTTGCTACAGTAATATGCTCCTAGAACAGAATTTGTCACATCACAGGTGTGGTGTAGCTGCAAATATTTTTCTATATGATGAGAAGCTGCAGTAGTTAATGAATAGCAAGGAAAAGGTTATAGCAGAAAATAAAGGGTGGGTTTATTAAGGATGTATAAAACTATACCTTGTGCTGCTTTTTGTTTTTATTTTTGTTTTCTTCAAAGCTGATTGGCTAGATTAGCCAGACTTTGGCAGAGTTAGCAAATGACTGAGGCCTAAGTAATTCCTGATATGAGCACTGGATCTTTTGACAGCAGTATTGAAGAAAGGAAGGAAAAGTCAAGAACACCATGCAGTTCCAGGGGCTTTTGTTTGTTTTGTCTGTTGTGGTTTTGTTTTGTTATTTTATATCAATCTCTGGTTGTTCATACAGGAGAAGGAAAAATATTTTTGTTGGACAAAGCTCTTGCTTAAAAGAGAGTTAAAAAAGAGACTGTTTTAAGGTTGTTTTTTTCCTGTTGATGTTCTTATTTACTGGTATGCAGATTTAGAAACTACTTCCATGCTAGGAAGCTGCTTAATTTTAATTGTATATTACTCAAGCACCTTTTTTGAAGCTCAGAAAAAAAAAAAAGGAGATCATGCTTCTTTAAACTTTAGCATTATAGGAATATTTATGTAAATATAATTATGCTAAAAACAACAAAAAGTATTTGTATGTTTGTGTATATATATGTATATACAAATGCAGGTAGGTATACATATGTATATATACGTGCATGTGTATATACACTATACATATATATACTGTATATATAAAATACTATGTATACAGTATATATTTTTTCTATTTTTTTTCTTGTTGAATGTATTTTTATCTGAGAGAGATTTTACCCAGAGCAGAAACAGATAAACAGGCATTCCATATCAATGCTTAATCGCTTGTGAGTTTAGAAGAGACAAGAAAAGAGCATCTCATTCTACCTACAGTTTGATTTGAAAGTGTTTGTGTGCGCGCGTGTGTGTGTGTGTGCACTCTTGTGTTTGCGTGTGTACAGTATGTGCACGATTATAGCAGTAAGCGTTGCTCTTGCTACTTGCTACATTTCAGGGTGTTTCTTATTTTTCTTTTCCTGCTTAGCCTTAAAAAGGCTTTTTAATGAATGCATTGGCTAGAGACACTGATGACAATATACATGCAGCACTAATCAGCTCCATAGAATAACAACATCGGCTCCTGGATTTTCTTTTTTTTCTTTCTTTCTTTCTTTTTTTTTTTTTTTTTTTTTTTTTTTTTCAAATGTTTGAAACAACTACTGGAATATTGTCCACATTAAGCTGGAAGTTTGTTGTAGCTTGCCTCATTTATAACTCTGACTGTATATTACAATGTTAACTTTCCAAACAGGTCTTGGCACTTTTATACTAATTACCCATTTGTGCATTGCCTTTTTTCTTTTACAAATGCTTGTCATAAGAGACACAGATACCCAGTATGCTTAATGTGAAAAGAAAATGTATTTTTTGTAAAGGAACTCTCAAGTATTGTTGTAAATACTTGGTCAGAGGTTGCTGAACTTTAAAACTGAAAAAAAAAACTAATTTATTATTATAATGACCTAATTTATTAATCTGAAGATTAACAATTTTTTTGTTTTAGAATATCAAAAAGGTGTTCTAGCTGTTTGCATCAAAGAAAAAAATAAGTGTATCATTAAGGGTCAACATTTTTTCTGCTTATATAACTTCAGTTTCAAACCACCAATAAGAAAAAATGTAGTCTCCCCAGTGTTTTGTACACAATCTGATATTGAAACAGAGATGTTTCTGTCCAGTTACTACAAAGATTTTGTCAAGACAAAACATCCATTCCTTGCATAAGAGTAAGCAGTCTTTATCCAGAAATTGTAAATGCTTGCTTTTGTTTTACAATCAAGGCCATATTCTGAAAATATTAGCAGGATATAGGACATGGTGTAAAATGTTTTTTATTATTATTATTTTATTATTATTATTTTAAAGATATGATTTATCCTATGTGCTGTATCCATTACACTCTTTTACTTTGGTTCCTGTTGTGCTCTTGTAAGAGAAATGCAGATATAATTTTCTGAAAAATAGATGCATATGTGGCACTCGGAGTGCACTGCGGTTCAGCAGATTGCTTGTTTACTTTTTTAACTGTAAGGCGGTTTCTTGTAATTTGGCTCTTGGCAGCACAATAAAAAATTTTAAACCTATTGATGCATATTTTCTTAAATGTTCATATTTATTACTTCTGTACACTGGTCCTTGAGACATTAGTTTATATTTTGATATTATGGTGAGGTGTTTTTCCCCTGGGAGTAGGAATTCATGTTAAGTGTCCTGCTGACCTTAGATCAAAACAGTTCAGAACAAAATGTGGGTAAACAGTCTGCAGTTACAGAAAGTTCTGTGGTCTACACTGAAGAATTTTTACATTAGAGGGATTTGTGGAATTCCCAAGTTTCAGCATTCCGTAAAGCTCAATCTCTCAAATGCAAAGTCAGGCCTTTGCCCTTCCATTGAGTCCATGTGGTCTAACTGTACCTGTCAGAAAGCCATAATCAATCATTTGGAACTCTAATATGAGGCCCTATAGGAAGTGTGTGGAATCAGAATCTGCACTTAATGGGCTTCCTCAGCCACAGATTTATTTACCTATTAGCCTGTTATGTTTTTCCTTCTGTTAATTCGTAAGTTAATGGACTTGATGTAGAGTTCTGGTTTGTAACTTCCTGAGGCAAGGAGGTTTTCAACTTAACTACTTGCTCTGTGAAAAACTGCCTCCATTTCTTTCTTTGAACTTACCCCTTGATGGTTTCCTTTGATAGCCCTGTCTTGATGCATTCAAAGCAGCAGTGGTTCAGTATCTGTATGCCACCCATTTAGAGACCTGTGTCTTCTCTCTTTTTTTTTTTCTTTTTTTTCTTTTGTGCTGAAAAGCCCAAGATGATTCAAGGATAAAGGGAGTGAAAATATCCACATTGTTAAAATATGGAACACCCTGGATCTAGCATTGTATTTACTGTTTGGGTTGTTGTTGACCACTGAGTCTGTGCTCTGTAAGAGCTAGCTGAAATAATCCAAAATACCCAAGTAGTAACAGTTATCGCAAAGCCCATAGTTGACTTTGACTAGGGTAGAGTGGTATTTTTGTGCATCCCTCTACATTTATATATGCTGGAATTCCAGTAATTTCCTCTTCCTTGCTAGTTACCTGTTCCTCCCCAAGACGATGGCTACAGAAGACTGTCTTCTAGAAGAGCATCTTCAAACTGCTTGCAAACATTTTGCTTTTTCATCAGAACGGAACAGAAAACATCTTTGTACCAATGTATAAAACAACGGTGCATCCACATTTTAACAAAGTAGTCCTGGCTTCCTTTGCCCTACTCCCAGTGTTAGAAAGGATCATATTGGAATGCCTGTGATGTGTATACATACACTATAAATAGGGTTTGTCAGGGTGAAAGTCTTTTAAATTACCTCAGTGACATGCAGATGCTTAACAGAGAATTAATTTTCCACTCACTGTGTCTCTTTCCCAACATCAAGCTGGAAGTATGAAAAGAAACTTAAAGGAGGCTCCAAACAAATTCAAGAAGTTAAGCAGAAAAAATTCTTGCTATGTACTTCGGGATACCAGAAGTTTACAGTAGCTTGAAAATGTACTAGATAAAAAATAAGACCGCCATAAGCTATTGCACGTAAGGACACCGTCCAAAGCCATCAGGGGATGGGGACGGGAGTAACAACCACATACCTCAAAAACTCAGTTTTATATGTGTTCGGTGGCTGAAGGCGGTGGATTGCAGTCAAAAAGCCACCCATCTCCCGGTTCCAAGGAAGTTACAGCT